TTAATTTAGTTTCTAGATCCATGTGACTGGCTTCAACACATTTTAGGCAGCAGGTTACCTGCTTAGAAATAATGCATCTGTGAACTATGGATGTGGCCTTAGCTAAGAGAATTTACAGTGTATCATGTGCAGTGAAGCAGACGGACTCTACAGACGAGTTACCAGTGACTCATACGATTATCTTAAATAGTGAATTTTATTTTTCCTAAATGGCTTAAAAACCCCATATGCTTTGGCGAGGAGAGCTTCACTAGCTACTCTGGTTCCAGAGTATGGAGTACCCAGTAAGGTCTACAGAGCAGCAGCTATAGCTTTGCAGAAGGGTAAACATTCCTTTCACATGTTTAACTCATGCTACATTTTATCACAAAGATGAACAAGAAAACAGACATCCCTCTCCCACCACACCAAATACCAATCCCACATCGTACTCTGCAAAGAGTCACAGCTCACCCTATACTTTTCATCTCTCTTTTGGGCTCTTATTGCTTGCAAAACTTGAGCAGCTTCCAGTTTAGTCATTTCCTCTTATCAGGAAATTCAGATGAAATTACATTTCTACCGGAGGCTTTTAAAGGTATATAGGAGTCCTGTTTGCCTTTACAGAAGATGTGTTTTTTTGGCATCTTTTCTTCTTTTTTTTTTTTTCCCCAGCCAAGTAGGGGTCATCTACTTACTTCGTGTCCCCAACCCCTTGTGACTCTTACCAAAGATTTGTCTCTGAAAACAGGCATTTTGTTGTGTTTCCAACCTTTTCTCAGGGGAACAGAGACAAGAGGGGAGAAGAGCGGGGTGAGCACCCTCTCTGCGAAGTTTATTGAGTACGTACTTAACCAGCTTTCCATTATCAGGAAGGGGATCCATCTGAGACCAAATCATTGCTAAATTGCGCAGCAAGAACTGTACCTAGAGCTAATTTTCTAAACAAAGTGGTAGCTGCCTGCTTCTAACTATCCCCCAGAAGAGTTGTCTGGATAAGGATCGATACTCATGAGATGAACAAGCTGCATCTCCTGTGCATTACCTGTGCCTAGAGCCTCCAACAGCTACTGGTGCCTGCCTGTGTTCACTGATGGCCTCTGCACCAAAACACTCACTAAAGGGAGAAAACAAAGAGCCAAAGAAAGGGGGACAGCTGGACCCCAGAGCAAAGGCGCAGAAGACGAAAGAGGGCCCTTTGCCCTGCCTGGATACGATGGGGGAAAGGGGAGGGATGGAGGCATCACACAGATGGGGTGCGGAAGAGGCATGGAGCTCTTGTGGGGGCACCTGGCACACATTCCCCTTTGCATGGGGTATCCTCTGCCTCGATGTCTGAGCCTCAGCCATAACAGCTCTCCTACACACTCCTACTCTTCTCCCACATCACCTCCTATTTCTTCCGTATGCCCCCAGCTTCATCCTGCTGCTTGGCAAGCCATCATCCTCTCCCTGGGTATGCCAGGGCCCTCTTATAAAACATTGGTCTCCCTCAGGGTCCTCCTGGCAGCCTTTGCTACCTGCAGATGAAGGTGCTGGCAAGGTGAGCAGGTGACAATCTTTTTATAAGGTTTGTGGAATTATTTTGGCATTAAATTGGTGCTGGTGGAGTGCACCCCCATGGGTCCCCTTTTAGGACCAGAAACTACTCTGGGCAGGTGAGACCTGCCAGGTCATGTTCACTAGAAAGTAATGATAACAAAAAGATCATACCAGGATTTCCACTATCTAATGTGGCTCACAAGGGTCACAATCATCAAACCTGCGCTCATCTGGTGCTCAGCAGCCTTGTTGCAGAAATAGCTGTCTGACTGCCTCCAAATCCAGCCTCCGAGCAGCCTCCAGGGGCAGCGAGCTGTTCCCGCAGACAAGCTGGTGATGCTTACCTCTGGGAACCCCACTGTACCTCTGCCACAGCAGAGCAACGCTGGTCCTCTGTTCAGAGATGTATTTGCAGAAATAACGTAAGACCATTGCCATTAAGGCACCAGGAGAAAAATCTGCTTTCAAAAAATTAGATTGTCAGTACTTCTCCATGATTCACCTAACAGCTGAGATGTGCTTCTGGCACAAAACCAAAGCCGTCACCCATTGAAGACCCAATTAGACGGAAAAAAAAAACCCCCGGGGAGAGTTATTATTTTAAAATTTTGTGTGAACTTTCTGCTGGTTACTAGTGAAGTCACACACTCATTGAGATTCAAGAATTAGTGAGATACCTCAGCACATGCGTAACTTAGTGCAAACTCAATGATCTTTGTCACAAAGCAGTGGAATTAACCAAGCTCACATTTAGCTTTGCAATGCATAAAGTGCTTTATTGAGTCAAGGTCTGAACCACAGTCCACCGACATCAATGAAAGATCTTCTGAGGACTTGGGGTTTGACTTACAGAAAGCCATCTCTGCTCATCTTTTACCACGACAGGCACACACGCTTTTGTAAATACTCAGCTCCAGCTACAGTAGCAATCCACAGGGTATTGCCTCATCTCAGGTATGTCTTTTTTTATTGTCTCATCTCATATATTGAGTTTTGTGGAATATAGCTTGGTCCAGCCCACCCCAGTCAAGCAGATGCTTTTACCAATGGGATGTGCACACCTTGCAATCCAGTTTCACAGACACATCGCATGCAATAGGGGAAGTTAGTTACAATAAGTAAAATCAACACCAAAGATAATTGACATTTTATTTATAAACATACATTTACTATAAAAGCTGTTGCATTTTAGACAAGTTTTCCTAATTTCCAGAGGCGTTTTAGAATAAATAAAGATTAGCGCAATTGGTATTCAACATTAGCCCCAGCTAGGACAGCAATCCTTGTCCTTGAATGGACATGCAGATAAGGATGGTTCACCAACCTTTAGAACATTCACTGAGAACTACAGATGTACTGCATCAAAACACTACATAGCAAGACTAAGGAAAAAATACACCATGGAAAATGAGGCTGTGAAATACAGATGGGTTATGACAGCTGTCCAGGTCCTCTGAAGTAGCAAGAGGCTAGATAAATTCTGAATATCTAAACCCCATTACATACATTGTACTTGCTTAGTAATAATAAATCATTATTTTTTGCAACAAATACATTTACATTGTAGTTCAAATGTAGTAAAGCATTATTTTTTTTCTCTGCTTAAAGTTCTTGGTAAGAAATATATCATATTTATGTGTTTAAACTGAAAAACCAAAGGATAAAAAAGATCTCGGCCTGAATGAACTTGCCATGTAAGACTTTGAAGGAAATATAAAATCAAACATAAGCAGTCGGCAAGTACAATTTAGAGAAGCGTTGAAAATTATTCTGTGCTGGTGAATAGATGTTCACTAGAGGGAAAAATGTCTGAGAAAGCCGCTTCATTTCACTGTACATACAATCAACTTTGCTAAAACATGCATATATGAAAACTAATTGACAAGACACTGGGCTCAATCTCTAAGCAGCTTCAGAGACCCAGTGGTGTGTCTGCAGTGTGATGCATCCCCCCACCCCACCCCTCACCCATGCATTTTAGTCTCAGCCATGCTCCTAAGCCCTTTGGGCACTTACCCCTAAATGAACAAGAAGCAAATCTGTGACAACCAACCCTTTAGACACTGGGGACCGATTCGCACATCTAAACTCTATCAGATGGGTGAAGCAGTGGTAGTGACTGATACCAAATAGACTCAAAAGCATGCACATTCTTGTTCAAAAATTAGGCCCAGACATCATATATTCACGTCCTTAATGCAGCTCATGGAATTATACAGATGTATGAATTCGGCTATGCAAAATCCGCTTACTGAATTTCCACGTTACGCATTATTTGCTAAGAGTGAGTATCCTGGTTATCAAAACCATTTAACAGTGTAACATGCAGATGGTTGATCAAAATACTGGACATCGCTTTTATTTCCAAAAGGTTTGTTGGATTTCTTAATGCTTTTCTTTTTAAAAATATTCCCCAGGTGAAGTCCACAAAGGACTTCAGCTTTTTGGATTTATTGCATCCATAAGTCATTGCTGACTGTGTGCAACAGCTTTGCATTTTCTAAGGCACAATATTAAGGAAGGAACATGTAACTTTCCAGCAGAGAGTCACAACGCCCTCCAATGACAACAGTGTACATGGGTTTTCAATGACAACCCAGTTTTGACTGGGTGTGCAAATCACAGGCAAGCAACCATCTAGTGTTCAAATAAATAGTTGCTAGCTAGAGAACAACTCAAAAATTGCTTCCCTAATAAACACTTCACTTCCATTTACCAACACGTCAAAAGACAATGGATGTGCATGTAGATAAAATAAATCTCTATTAATTTAGTTTTACCATGGTTTTAAGGCAGAATAAGTAGATTTTTCTTCCTCCATTTTGTGTTGCAAATTGCTAAAATGGGGTATTTCCAAGAACTGTTTACCAAGAAGTGCTAGGATTTTTTACAATTGCAACACCCCCCCAACCTTGTCTCTATATTGTAGATAAAGCGACACAGCTCTGACCGCTGTTTCAACAGGATGCTGGATCACTTTTAGTCCAGAGCACATGCTTAATCCAAAAGCACAAAGAAAACTGGCCCAGACCCAGGCAAATCAAAGTTTTGGGTTTTTTTGCCTAACGCTGTCAGCCTCCTCCCTGTCCACCTCCCGCACCCCCAGGTTTTGCTGACTTTCTTGGGGTAGTGTACGGGGGAACACGGGCTCAAAGCTGTTTAATTCCCTGGTCTGAAGGGCACCGAAACCCCACGTGTTTCTCCTCAGGAGATTTCAGCCACCTGTGATGCTTGCAAGTGAACAAGCAGATCTCAAATCAACTCAGACATTCAACGGGTAAGTTACACATCAAAGAGAGAAGCTTCACCGTAGCATCAAACTTCATCTCGGAGACTCACAATTTGGCCATGTCTGCCCACTCGGCTGCCTCTCCCCCACATCACCTTTCATCGAGGTCATCGAGCCTCATGGGCTGCTGAACTTAGTAAGAAGGATTGCTCCTAAATGGGAATCTTGCCGTCGTTAAGGGTATACAGACTTTAGGTTTAATGAAGAAATCTTTATTTGAGAGAATATTAAGCTATAGTCATGACCATTACTTGAGGTACACAAACAAAAAAATACTATCACTAAAGGTGCAATAATTTATTTGTATAACTCCTACCCTCCACTGAAGGCAATATAAACACAAAATGCTTCAGAATTACAGGATGTATTATCAAACTAGTCTCTGTATAAAAAAGGTTATAGCTTCAGTTATAACAGAGAAGTCTTTCTGTGATGTTTAGTTCTTCAAATGCACTGATTAGATACTATCTTAAAATTACTTCTCAGCTGAAATTGGCATATTCTATAAAGGTTGTGTAAACTTAAACTTTTTAATTCCTAGAAATATTAAAACAAAACAGCTTTATTGCATGTTTATTTTCTTATTACTTCCAAAAGAACAAGGTAACAGACTGGAAATCATAAGCATACCTGAAAGGTGGGATTATTTTTTTTAATAGTACTTGGGCTTTGCCTTCCCAAACATGGTCATACATATTTTGCAAATATCTTAAGAAAGGGAAAAAACCAACATATTGCATTTTAAGGGAGGGGGTGCAGTGTTTTTATGAGTTTTTCAAAATGAGATGAGAGCCATGATGTCCATGGATTCAAGCTCTTACAAGTGATTGTCTGGAAGCAGCCGATACATATGAGAAGAGAGTTCCTTCTTGAAAGGACTGAAAGTCATGTCACAATGTAGTTGGCTGTCCAGCAGCTGGGTAAAACAAAATCAAAACAATTAATCAGATGACAGATCTTAACAAACATACATAGGCTTTTCCTCATATGTTCTCTACAATTAAAAAACCTGCATATGGAAGTATTTATCATTTGTGCCTTACTTCTCCTTCCTTCTGTGAAGCTGCGGCATTAACTGCAAAGAAGGGCTCAGCATAACTCCAGTGGAAATATCTTTTCCACGCCACATGGACAAATGCATTCTGCATGCACTTTTATTTCATTTCACTCCCAAAGTACTCGTGGGTGTATTTACTTTCAGGCTCTGCAGTGGCAAAATAATAAAGCAAAGGACTGATGAGTCATCTTTAGCTGTGCCTGGTTTGTGTTACAAGGTAATTCAGAGCCCCAGTGTTCTTTAGCCATACAGAGAATCTCACGAATTTACTTCTCGTCTTGGACTTTGACACTCACAAACCTGTAACTATTCCCATGTTTGACACTGACTACTGAGCTCCTTTCTTGCGGGGGTTTTATTCTAGAGAAATAACCTACCAGTTAAACTCCATCCACTTTCACTGAAAAAATAGAAATATTTTCGACCCCGGACCACTTCATAACGCTTTTCTCTCTTAAGGTTTTGATAATTTCTTTTGAAACAGAATCATTCACAGTTGCAGATAAGCTTCTGGCAGTCAAAATATTTCATTGAGATGTCCGTAAGTGCCTCAAAACAATACTTATTAATTCTGGGTTGGTCAGAGACGGTCAGTTGTGGGCACCGCTGCACAGCTTTTCAGATGCAGCCGTTGGGGCAGGAAGGCACAAGCTGTGCAGTCAAGCAAATGATTTTACATTTAGCACCAGACTTCCCAGAAGTGAAAGGCAAAAAACCCACTAACACTGTACCAGTTTGTTCTTCATTTCAGATGTGGAATCCATCAAATTCTAGTCACAAATGAACAACTAGTCATCTTTGCAGTTCTATCCAAATCAGTTCCTTTGAAAATGTCAGCAAGAGCCAGTGTAACCTAATTTCAACTAACTCATATTTTGAGATTTGGCATAAGGAGTGAACACAACAAAGAGGCAATTTACAGGTAAAAAGACAAACCCTTGCTGTTACTATTCTTCAGGAACCATACATTTTCTCAAAACCTATTCCCTTTGTCACATATCTGCTAGGTATGTACAAATGCAAAACCTTACTGCACAAAACATTCTACGCAGCTCTGTATTGCATTTTCTAGCACTGCTGCTCTAGAAATGATGACAGAGGGGGTGATTTCTACAGCAGATAAGCTAATAAATGATTTATTTGAGCCTTTATCTATCCTTAAGGAACCTCTTTTTTTCAGCTAAAAAGATTAAGAAGAAAATGAAAATATGACTTTCATCATCTTCCTCTCTTTTTTTTTGTGTAAAGATGGATGTGCAAATGTACATTTTAAGGGTCAGGACCTCATCCACATAAAGCAGGTTAATAGTATCAAGCCTGAAGGGGAAAAGCCATTTCTAAACTTTTGTGGTCAAATAAATAATAATAAAAAGTCGCCAGCATTTCTTAGCAGAATTTAAAAACAAAAATACCAAAGAATGCTTATACAATAGCACCCTCTAGCTCTGCTGATGGGGAAATATCTTTCTCCTGAAACATCTGAGAAAAAAACCCAAGTCTATTCTGCCGGCAAAAGTAGGTAGCAAACTTTCCTGCTCCTGGATTTCTACAGCCACTGCACTTTTGAGAGAGAAGGGCAACAGTGAGTGAAACGAACTCTATTTCCACTTACCAGTTAGGACTGTAGGCAGTGAATATACTAAGCAGTAACATGTAACAGGAAGGCAAGAATTACTCCCATGGTTTTTTACTGCATCTTCCCGTTTTCCACAAAGTGGAAACCAGCATGAGCACTGCCCATCTAATCTCATCTCATATCCCTGCTGACAATCAGGATGAAGCTGAAATACTCTAGCAATTTGGTATCAGTCACAGAAATCCAGGACTAGGAAGGACATTCAAGTGATTTTTTTTTTTTTTGACATGCAATTGTCTGTCTCTTCAAAACGTGCAGCAAGCAACACTTTAGTGTATGTTTGGGGATACCACCACAAGGATTCATTATGAGTCACAGAATGTTCCTAATATTTTACATGATCATTCTCTCTGCAAAGAAGGCTTGAAGACATAAAAAATCGGAACTTCTGCCGAGAGTCCTAGACCTAGTAGCAGTATCTGCGTTGTCTCTCGTGATGTGACAGATCCAAGCCTCCAGGACATGCAATATGCGTGTGCAGTGTAGGAGTTTGTCCTTATGCACAGAAAGTGCCTTTAAGTGTAACACTGCTGAGCAGACCTCCACTGGACAAGATTTAATGGGCTTGGAAATATTTTTTGATATAAGAAGATCATTAAAATGGCATGGGAAGGTTCCTTTTCCCATGATGAAATTATGACTAGGTGGTAAAGCCAGGAGGCGACAAACCCATCAGTTAAAATCACAGCAACAGTATTGTTAGAGTTCCTTGTTCTTCAGACAGGATTTGGCACTTACTTCTGGATCGGATATAACAATCGTTGCAATTAAGAAGACCATTTCTAATTCTGACATCTGTCCCACTTGCTGCGTCTCCCAGCTGTCCCTTGCAAATGCCACACTGTTAATTGAAGAATAGAGAAAGTAAGAGAGACCATGCCCTATTATTTGTCACAATCCTCCACAATTTTGACTTTTGTTTTAGTAGTTCTCAGAACAGTGAGAAAAAATACCCTTCTAGAACCCAGTCTGTCAAACAGTGCAAGTCAGCGAAAAGTGTTTTTAGAGTCAGCAGTATTTAGGACTGGATTTCAGCAGTCTCCACTCACAGAGAAGCAAAGTCTAGTGATTTTAACATTGTGTTCTGGAGCCAGACCATTTATGATGGACATAGCTTAGAATGGCCAAATGTTTAGTTTGGGTAAATGTCTAAAACAAAACAAAAAAACCAACTTCATGAATGTCTGATGCCAATTGGGCCAGAGATAATGGAAATGGAAACTTTCTGAGTTCTCTAGGAAATGCTATCTTGAGTCATCTCCAGACTGAAACACTCTAGAACAGTCAAGAAGTATTTCTGTCAAGAGCTCTGGTGAAAGCCAAAATACATCAACTATTCCATAGTCAAAGCTTTCCAACCATGAACTAGATTGAAGATGGCTTTGGGACTGATCAGGTTTTGGGGGAAAAAACCCAACCAACTCATAATGTAACTAATATTATCTTTAAAGAATGATGAGTACATCAAGGAAATTTTATGATGCTTCCTGCTGTAAGAAAGAAGTTAAGTTTGCTTACTGAATTACAGGTTTTAGTTCAATTAACATGTCTGACAGCAAAATAACACATTAGCTGCACTACTTCCACTTTGCTACGAACAAGCAAACACACATATACGCACACAAATAAGAATCCCTTGGACCCCTCATTCTCAATTTCACATCTACAGCCACACACAGTGCATGACTTGAGACTTTTCTTAATAAAGCAAAGATATACCCTGAAGCACTGAATATGGAAATAAAGACCAAGTGTTTCAATAATCATCGCAGCTCCTTTTCCAAGAGGAAGCCCGCAGGTAGAACAAAGCTTCTTTCCACTGACAGACCTAGGAGAAAAACACAACTTTAAGCAAACAGAAACGCAACTGTCACTCAAATGTAGCCAAATATTTGCACAGGTTTATGGTGAGGGACCGCATTGGGCAGTTTCACATAAACACACATTGATTCTTCACCATGTTGATGAATCAGCCTGCACATCTGCCTCACAGACAAGCAATCGATGGGCTTAAAATGCTTGACTGCACAGCAGCTCAAACCCATTTCCCTGCTAGTGAGCCGTGCTAGATCAAAGGAGATGCAAGTCTCTTAACCGAGGGCTGGATGGCAGGGAACCATGCCTGAGGATTATCTAGAGTAAGCCAGTGCCACAGTGATCCAAGCAGATATTTACACAAATCACCCCAGTCAGTGTCTCAGCTTGGAAATTTTTCAGTTTGTTTGCAGATGGGTTTTCTTATTGCAAATCAAGGCAGGGATGCTGCCCTTACACCCACACAAGCTGGGAAAGTCAACAGTAGCAGCATAACTGTGGTAGCATCAACCTGGCACCTGCTAACTAATTTTAGCTTATGCTGCTGCAGCTACATGCCTGTTAGTATCACTAGATGGGGTAAAGCTGAAACCAGATCTCCATCTGCAATGTAAATACTTCAGCTCTCTCCTTAAGCTGCAGTCCTGTATGGACCTGTCCAGTAGATCAGCTGTTTGATGACAGCTGGGTGAGAGATCAGGACCCCAAGAACAATTGGTACCCTTTTTCATAATGGTTTAAATAGCAGTGCAGGTGCACACTTTGACGTGTTTCATGCTCTTCCCTTCTCACTTGCCTGCCAGAACTGATATCTGTCTAGTGAGATGAACCTGAGACTGAAAGGGATCTCTTGTCATTATGTGTCATCCATATTTTTTTCAGCTAAGGCTGAAACCAGGAGAGAAACTTTAGGGTATTTCATGAGTTTTGAAAAGACGGTTTGATGAAATTGGACAGAGATAAGGAAGTTTACAATATCTTGCTTTATGGTTTTGGTAAGCCACCAACAGAGATTAATCTGGATGGTAACATGACAAAAAAATCTGTTTAAAAAAAAAATAGAGACAAAAGCAACAGAAAGACTCATCACAACCAGAAAACTGTTCTTACTTCCATCTAATCTCTGTCAGTCCTGAGCCCATCATTCTTTATCCCACCACATACACTGATAGCACAGGCACATCACTATCTTTTTGCTTCATTTGCATTATTCCTCTCAGAATGACTTTTCTGGTTTCTTCTCCTCCCCTAAACCCTTAAACCTGCTCGCATGAATCTCCATTACTCTAGGGTCCACCCTTGTTTTCACTTCTTTACCACTATCAGAATTATTCTAAGGACAAGTTAGAGTGCTGGGTCAAAGAATAAAATGCTTTGGGAATCATTTTATGAGAATTTTTCTAATGTTTTAGTTGAAGAATGAATTACATCCCATAAACTGTTTCCAAAACTAGGATTTATTTCAGGAAAAGATCTTGGAAAAGGGTCCCAGATCAGAATATAGCTGCTAAATAACATGAAGTAGCTATCACAACTAGCTACACGTAGAAAGAAATTATTTGCAATCCCACCAGAACTGCAGATGCAACTGGAAAAAATAGAAGACATTGCTCACACAAATAATTTCCAATAGTTTAATGTCAATGCAAGTGGCATGGGAAGGAGGGCTTTGCACTGAAGTGTGAAGAAAACCAGTATTTAAATAGAAGAAAAGTTTGCCGTGTTTTCTGTGTCGTATTACTTTACCCTATTTAATAAGCCAACTGATTTTAATAAACCCCAAATTGTTAGTGATTCAATCAGGCTACAGTTAATGTTTATTTAGAGCTGGTACAAGTATCTCACTGAAAGTTGCACAGCTCATTGCTTGAGAGAATCAAATCTCCAGGAGATTAGCACAAATGCAGACAAATTAAAAAAAAAAACGCAAAAAAGCAAAACACGTTTCAAGTTTGGAAATTAAGGGAAGGATTTCTTTTTAAATCAGCAAGTGTTGAAATATCATGATGTCTAGAACGTACCTTACTCCTGAGCATGTAACTATTCACAGTGAAGACAACATCCTTTGGCATAAGTGCTCTGAACTAATGCTAAATTGCTTACTTTCATTGGGGCTTATACTATCCCATTTCAATTTCATTGAAATTTCAATCATCAAGCAGAGTCCTACAGCTGTTTTCTGAACATAACAATACTGCTGAAGTAGGCAAGAAATAACAAGGAGGAAGCTACATATTTATTTATATGGTCAGTTATGAATTGCAATATTTAAAAGAATTAATAGTTCATCCACATAACATGAATGTGATTTACATTGTGACAGTTCACCAATGACTACAAGGTGTATCGGATCTACAAAATTCCTTATTGACTTTTCATACCTATTGGGTGACTGACTTGGAGCAGCAGGAGAGCAGGGAGACGATGGCCCAGACCGGAAGTTCTCATTATAGCCTACCCTAAAATGGAGGAGAGAAGATGCATTATTACTACTGCTAAAGGAAAACTAAAGCCAGGTTTTGTACAGCAAAATTCCAGCTGAAGGATCTCAGGATTACCAGCTCTAAAGATTTTATCTACGGAAAAAAGATATAAATCTGCTGTCAGTTGCATTTTTTTGTTCTGAGACTTGGTCTGCTTGTTATTGATCAGTCAGGAGACTCACAAGGTAATCAGCCATGTGCAGACTCCTACCCACGTATCAACCCAACACAGCTTCCCCCATGATGAAGAGGGGCTAAGCCAAGGCACACCTCCTGGTACTCTCTGTTGACCAGCGGATGTGCTCAGAAGCACACTGGTAGAGCAGATGTAGGGTTACTGATGTAGGGTCTGTGCCCCTTACTGAGAAAAAAGAAAGCTGCCCACACTGAAAAGGGATTTATTACTATTTGCATACATTCTACTCTGAAAGAATCAGGAGGGAAAAAACATGCATTTTTTTCATTATCAGAAATCATAGGACTGATTCGACTTCTTACTGTTTAAAGCTGTTCACAGATTAAATAATTTTCTCAAACACACATGAGCAGTTTTGACTGAGTATAAGCTTCATAGAATTATCACATTTTGCTGGAGACTGTGTATATATGCTACTGAAAAGAGATGTTCATTTCTCATTACACAGATACACCGTCTGCAAATATTAGGCAGGCAGATCCCTTGTTTGGCATCAGAGAAGAAAAAAAACTCACCAAAATTCATAGCAGAAAGAAAGTACTAATCTTTATGCATATTTTCTTTTTTTTTTTTCTCTTCAAAGCTAGAATCGTTAAGTAGCAATCAATGTGCGTTTGGAAGCTAGGGAGTGAACCTCTTGGATACCAGCTTTGAAGAGGCAGAGTTCACCTGACCTTCCCATCCTGATACTCAGCCACTTACTAGCTATAAGTGTTTGTCTCAGGCACTTAAAATAAATGAAACATGTGAACAGTTACGCAGATGAGTTTTTAAAGTGCTGAGGAGAAAGAAGACGGCGAGTGGTATACATGGGGTCTGTTCCCACATAAAACTTGTTACTGGGGTATCCATAAGGAGAAATGAAGTGGATAAATGTCAGCAGTCCTGGTGGGAAAGCAGCAACCACAGGTATCTTCACACTGCAGGACTGCCCAGGAAACCTGACTGAAAAAGAATGCTGAGTAGGAATTTAAAGGAGAACACAGCGAGTAAGACCTCTCAATCTCTTTAATAACCTTTATTTTATGTTCTCACCTCCTTGTCTCCCCTGTAGAGCTCAGCTGTTGCCCAGCACTATGGCCCAGGAATGGTCTCTGCCGAATGTCCTCTGTGCGATGCGGAGACTGCTTTGTCAGCAACTGCTGATTCCAGGAGATGTCTGCAATGGGAGGTGAGGAAATCTCAATACTTAAGACAAAATGCTTTTGTCAACACTTACAGACCCACATAGCTTTTGAGCACACCATAAAGGAGATAAGAAATGTCCTGTAACTTAAAAACAAGTTCTCAGAAACCCCACACAAAGTCAGAGACAGGCTCTGCTACATCAGCAGACCCCTGCATTACCTCCACATACACATGACCTACCCCGCTCCTGAACTTCAGTTTCTACAGCTGGAAAGGGTGAGGTCAAACAGCCATCCATGAACAGCACTTGGGAAAATAAAGTATTTCTATTGTAAAGAAGGAAGCACCAGAGAGACTGAAGCTTCCCATGGTGCCTGGGGAAATAAACTTCTCAACAGCAAGAGTTAAAAAGAAGGTGGCATAGTCACTGCTCTCCACAACTCTACTGATAAACAGTAATTCCCTTGTAATTTCCTTCTGCATTTCAGATGGCTGCACAAGGCTCAGTGACAGTAACAGCCTCTCAGCAATATGCAACAATCTGTGTGATGCCCAGGCAGCCAACCATCGCATCTCTGAGACAGAGGGCACTACCTGGATCCTTCCAGATGAATTTTGTGGCTCACAGGCTGGGGAGATGCCTCACCCTGCTGTGCACCAACCAGCTGGTTTGGAGAAGAAAAACTTTACTAGAGCTTATGTTACCTATTTTGTTATCAAGATGATAAAATCCTAGACTTGACTACTTAAGAACTTAAGGAGAGAGCAAGGATGTGATGCTTTAAGAGGTAAGAACTTGTAGGGGACTAAGCTGTTGGAAAAAACTTAGAAGTTCTTTTGAACCTCTTTTCTGATTAGCAGAAGTAGTTAAAAACTGTCAAAACTTTGAAATTGCTTAATCGCTACTACAAATCCAGAAGGATGGACTGCTGGGCAGTATCTTCTGCTTTCTTTATTTGAGCAACCTTTTATCAAAGCACTAAGACTACAACAAAATTGAGACATGGAAAACAAATCTATTAAGTTTAATAAACTGAATTTGCATTTGGAGCAATTAATAATACTGAAAACTTTTCTATCCATAGATGTTTCATTTTTCAGAATCATCAGTTTTTATGGTAGACTGAAAACAAAAATCTAAAACTTGATTTCAAAATCTACGCTTGCTTTGTGTCTTTAGTCCTACTTAATTGCTTTCACTATTCACTTGTGTTAGATACTGATGTTAAATTAGTGGATTTGCCTTTTTTTTAGGTTCACCCTGTTGACAGCAATGCTTTTGGGAAATTCCTTCATCTGAAAAAAATCAATGCTTATGGGACCTTAATAAAATCTATTAATTTTAAATGTCTTCAGATATTTCTAATTACAAAATTGAGGGAGATGTCACTTTAGGCTTGGCTTGAAAAGGTTACATATCACAGGTAGTGATTTTTACTGGACCGAAATCGACATAAAGAATCTAATTATTTTGTGTTTTGACAGCTAAGTGTTGAAATATGCTCTCTGTATCAGGACAAATCCTATATGTATGTGATACTAAATAAAAGATGGAAGATAACTATGTTTAACTACTACCATGAACACACAGCTACATAAATGAGATTCCAACCTTCAGCCAAAACACTCATGTCTGATGAAAACAAGATTTTAAATTAACCTTAGCATATTTATCTCTGCTAACAGAAAATAACTTTTGAGTCCGAGACATTCAAGTTTTGAAGATACAGGCGTACTGTCAATTTCCAAAATTCTTTGAGTTAGATTTTTGGAAGATTTCTATGTGGAAAAGAATACATGCATATGAAGAGTCTTGATTCTCACCCTGAGTCAACGGCAGATTCAGCCTGGCAGGCGAGCTGCACTCCATCATCAGCACCTGGCGCTCCTGGTCACCTCCTTTCAAGATACCCATCTCTGGGTGTCCTGAGAGCATTTTATTTCCACTGCCAACAAAAATAAGTCACATTGTATAAACAAAGCTACGAAAAATTTCACATAGAATATGATGGCAAAAATCGGACTTTCGAATATCAGTCTTTTTTTTGCAAAAAGAATTTTTGTCATCGTGTCAGCAGCAACAACAGAACGATGATAAATGTCATGAATTAACAAGTTTGTTTCCAAATATGCCAAATCTCCATGCTCATCTCTCACACTGCCACCAGACACACTAAAGATCATTCTGGATTTGTGAAAAACGGCTTCTTTGCTAAAGAAACAGCTTTTCTCAGTGTTTTCAACTCAGCATTCAGCATCATCAGATGATTCTTATCTTTGTGAAAGCTGTAATTAGCAGTTGGGTAAGGACCAGGACTTCGAACACGACCTGGCAAGTTCAGGTATGGCACTTCCAAGATAGCCAAGCAATCTCACACAGATTCTGAGTGAGAGCAGCTACTGCTCCTTTATTCCCCCAAATGGCTTGTGAAACTTATACACAAGACAGTGGACGGACATATGGGGATGTCTGAGCTGTCTAAGCTCTGATGTGGTTGATGTGAGAGCCTCTCGGCAAAGCCAAGCACTGAGAAGGCAAGCGTTTGGACGTGCACAACCAGCATTACTGCGTACGTGTAAGCCTGTGGCAAGCGAGTATTGACTGAGATATATTACACCTATGATCAGGCCACCAGATGCTGATGTTTCAGATCAATGAGATGCTGACATCCCAGAGGGCTACAGAACACAAAGCTCCACAGGGATAAGAAAGGCTTAGGCTTGATCCATACCTCCTCTTTTCTTGCCAGAGTTCATTTTCTTTGCTTTTCAGAGATGGCATACTGTCCTGCTCCCAGAGCAGCTTTTTCTGCCTTGTAACTTCTTTTTGTTTGCCGTCCTCTGGAGAGCTGTTTGAATCAGTTGAGTTCTGGAAGACAGCAGGGGAGGGAACAAGGAACTTCCCTTCAACTTGGTATCAGCACGCACATGGGAAAACCACAGGCTGCCCCCAGATATGTTGTGTTGACACACCTTAGTATCATAAAGAACATCTCACATCATACAGTGGATTCATGTGACCTTGGTAAGGCTGAGTTTGGAGTCAACAAAGACTTCAGCTGAAACAATCAACTAACTGGACTAAACTGAGCTCAAAAAAAAAAATTAGGGACAGATCAATTATAAGATGGTGTTCAGGACAACAGAATAAAACTGCCCACTACATATTTTTGGCAGAAATCCTTGAATGACTTTGAGAGTCTAGACAGTCTCATGTTGGACTTGGAAGGACTGCATTACTCACATGCACCGGGCCTTCTCAAATGGCAATACCAGTGTCACTTCCAAAATGGCACCAGAGTGGGTCATACCAAACTGGTGGAGCTTAAGTAAGCCATGGCATGATATCCCTCACTTCTGGGTGCAGGTCCTGCTCTGAATGTGGAAGAGGCAACTTCATGGCTAGACAGTCATGTGGGAAATGGGCCGTGGCTGATGCCCCTGCACAGGGATGGGTGATAAGAGGGGCAGGAAGGGTGCAAGGAGAACAATACTCATAATCCTGGAGTGAAATGGGAAAAGGCAGATGACTTCTTGTGTGGGGGTGCCTTAGGCAGGAGAAAATTACGTCTGGGAATCCCATATTTCTTCTACTGATCTCACCTAGTTTGTCAGTCTCTGATCTCTGAGGAACAGCTATTTAATTAGATGCTAGATGAGCTGAGTTAACATTTTTTGCTGCCTAAGTTCAAAAAAATAAAAAATCAGAGTGAACATTCCTCTGTTTGCTTTGCTATTTTCTAGGAGGGATAGTGGGAGACAAAAGGAAGAGAAGTGGGGAGGCAGGATTCAGTTTCATCTCAGGTATGCTTAAGGACAGTCTTAGAATGACTACAGGTTTTGGATGCAGGGAGATCAACCTGTTGGCTTTGAGAAGGTAGTTAAAACAAACAGAAACAGGTGACTTCTTTTCACAGCACCAGTTAAAGAAGAGAAGCAGCTGCAGAGAGAGTATCACCCTCTGCTCTAGTTCCAAATGGGATGGTAGCAGCCCATTTGGGAGTATGGCTTTTCAGTTGTAAAAATATACAAGCTACAGCACTCTAAGGTATCACCAGTTATGGATGGGATCCTGGGAATACTCTTAATGTTCCCAGACTTTATCCTTTAGTGAAGAATGAAACTTATCAAGGAAGATAGTTTAGTTTTTATTGCCTTACTACTCCATGAGAAACTCACCACTGTCTTGTTTCCTTCAGTGGTGGAGGAAGAAGAGGAGAGGAGCTCAGCAGAGTTTGAAGAAACAATGAATGGAACTACAGTATCCTCAATTATCTTACGTTCCTAAAAAAAGAGGACAGGAGGGAGTGGGGGTTAAAAACACAGAATGTCAGCTCTGAGCTTAACAAGCAGAAGCAGAAAGTTTGGCTACATGTCATATTTAGATGGCTAGGTAAGGACTTGTGTCACCAAGAATAATGGTAACACCTCAATTTTAATTTGCTTCAAGGTTTTGCACTCCCTTTTCTTTCACCATTACCATCTTTGAGATGGTATGTCCCAAACTGGAAAGAATATTCCACTTGGGATGGCATCACTGTTTCTCAGAACACCAGTCTATTAAGTTTCACAGAAAAATAGGAAATTACATGTGCTACACAAGAAACTTACTCTGTAAGTTGAAAAAAATGTTCTCATTCAGATCACAGGTATGGCCCTCGAGCACAGATGATAAAATGTCAATTTGCATAATGCACTAGTCAAACTGAAAATATTAATATTTTCCAATTTCATATAATAATGACCCACGTACGACAGAAGAAAACCACTATCTTCTATATTGTTAATATTCTACAACTGCAAGCTTAGAAAATTTCCTGTGGATTTTTCTGGGGAGGCAAAAACAAGGCCAGTTTACAAAATATCTACATAATCAAGCCCAAGGCAGATAATTTCATCTGAGATTCTACCAAGTCCAGGCACCAAGCATATGCCAAAATGCACAAGGCTCTGCCTCCAGAGGGAACTCAGCATGTCCAGACACAACCCTTACTGACTCACCCAGACTTGTACAGCAATTAGACACCTCCACTTACACAGAAGTTCTGAGGATGCCTGTCTAAATATTTTTCCTCAGAGCCTAGGGTAGTGTTTAGGAGGAAAAGCCCTCCTGAGAATTCAGCTTTGAGAAGGCTTTTCATTAATTAATCCAGGTATGGGACTTTTTTTAGTTACGTAAGTGGGTGCGCTTAAATACAAAAGGAGTCAATAAACAACCTCCTCCTTTGAGCCTCATACCTCCTCGTAGTATCTACGCTCCTCCTCTTCAACTTCTCTCTGGGCCTTTTCCCACTCCTCTTTCAGCTTGTCCTGCTCCTTCTGATACTTCTCCTGTAAGAGGATACAAATAGAGGTAAATGATTCTGTATTAGCAATAAGTTCTGTAGGACCTTCATAGTGAAAATGAACCTACTAAAAGTGGTTTACTCAGAAATAGGATTAAATAGGAAGGTAAAAATCTGAAACACTCCTGGGTGTCAAAAAAACATTGCTTTTCCTCCTCTTCCCACCTGTTTCTAGCACTTACATTTAACACCTTCAAACCACAAAGAACTTGTAACATATTAGAAGTTTCATTTGTTTGAAATGTTTAGATATTTGGTCAGAAATGAAATTTATGCTCAACAATTTTAATAATTCCTTGTTTGTTTGGCTGGGTTTTTTTCAGTATTAAGAGTTCCAAAAGGCTATCACATGCCCCAAAACATTTAGGCATGGATTTTATGTTACAAACTTCAGGAAAGTAGCATATAAACACGCAGGTTTTGCAGATACTGGATGCCAGTACAATTTAATGAATGATGATTACCTGTGCAAGTTTAAAAGACAAATGAACAATGTGTAAAGGTTTGAAGAAAGTAATCTAATAACTAGCTTATTTTCCTCCTTGATGGAATTATTTATGGAGAATTGTTTTCACACAGTTCTGCAGGAAAAATTATCTCAAAGAGATCTGTAATATGTTTTGATAGAACTGGTTTGCATATGGGGAAGAACAATGATTCCCACATCCCTTTTACACCAGCTCCAACTTCTGGTCAGATTAGAAGCCACATCTGCTTAATTCAGAAGAGATGCATTTACTATTGAGAGAACACTCATACATGCTAGAAAAACTATGATGAGAATATGATACCATTCTAAGAGGAAATTACCATAACAGCTAAAAAGAAATAATCTCAAGAAAGCAGTAGAGAGACACACAAGTCATTCCTAAAAGATGAAAAGACTCAATTTTATTATTCTCTATTCTTTAACAGTTATTTGCTCTTCTGCAACATGGAGGGACCGAATCTAATCACAGTTTCAAAAGACATTATTGACCAACAGGGAAATTAAAGTTTTCAAGGCCACTGCACTTCTTCCAACTAAGACACAAACTCAGATCTTTTACAGCTTACTCTATCACTGGCAAAACCAGCAGTTGTTTTGGGGGGGGTTTCTCCCCCTTACAAAAAACCCCACACCTTTTGTGTCCAAATTTAGCTTCAAGTTTCCCAAGAAGAACCTGTGAACAAATCAGAAGTCTATGAAAACCTATTAAGACCATCTTTTTAAAAGAAGAATTGCACAGGCATCGGGACGTTGTCAGTCTTGAGAAAGAAGCGTGAAGTAATTAAGAGTCTCACAGTCAATATAGTTTATATATAGTCAAGGATCAACATTTGGTTTAACTCTGCACTGGAACACAGAACTAAGCCCTTTTGGTTTTTCCATGGAGTGGGCAAGGGAGACACTAAGAGTGCCCAAATCACAGAGAACATGTGTGTATGCTCATTTTATCACTCATCTGCCACAGAATTCGCTCAAGCATCCACAGAGGATGTGGAAAAAACGTGACATGAAATGCCCAACTTTTGTCCAAAGGGACAATTCAACAGCTGAACCACATGGTGGAAGACGTGGAGTTCCTTCCCTACCTGAAGCAAGCGTTCTTGCTCATGCTGCCACCTTTCTTGGCGCTTTCGCTCTTCTTCTGGATCCCAGGACCAATAATTGAAACGCTTGCGTGAAGGAAAACCAAACTATTAGGCTTTAACACTACATGAGGCTACCAGAGAGAGCTGCGCTTTGCCTGGGGAAACTGAGAACTAGATAATGGTTCTCTCAGTTAGCAGACAATATTCTCAGCTTCATTGACACTTGGGATTGCCCACAGACATCTAAATGATAAAATAATCATTTGCTTTGCAAAGAAAGGCTTGGGAAACTTCAACTGCAGGGGAAAAAAAGATCTGAAAGAAAGCTTTAAGCAGCACTGAACAGAGATACCTGCAGGTACTCGAATTTAAGGAAAATATCTATTTTGCTTCTCTATAATCTTCTGTGCAATATGTAAAGCAATTTATGATTGTAAGAGATTTCATATGGCTGCCAGCATAACAGCCTATAGTCTCATAATTTTTATCCATAATGAAATAAAATCTCAGGCTTCACTAAGGTAATGATATGTGTTTTACATCCCTACAATTAAGAGAAATTTTGGACACGTGATGTAACATTCCTTTCTGCTAAGAGTTGTATTTGATATGAAGAGATGGTGTCTATTTTTATGTGACAAACAGAATATGAAACACTGTCTACTTCATAGTAGCATTTGTGGTATATTTTGTTTTGTTTGTTTTTTTCTTTTTCATTGAAGAGACAGTAGCATTTAAAATAGAATGGATAATCTAGAGTTACGTACTGTTTCGAGCTTGTGAAGCTTTCGTGGCTCAAGCAACTAAGTAATGAATATATAGCTACTATTCCCTCTGGATAAAAGAAGAATGCAATTCCAGATTTAGACCATATCCTGATTTGGGCTGTATTTTTTCTCTTTCATTTCCATGAGAAAAAAAAAAATCATTCTGATTTGGGTATGTCACAGGACAGTTTGCATAAAAAAGTTCATTTTTTTCTAAACACATACCTCTAAACCAAACAATGACACAAAAAAGGTACTCACATTTGATTTGTCACCACTATCAGAATCAGCTAATTAAAAAAAAAAACAGAAAAAGAAAAGATTAAATTTAACACAGCAAAACATGCTTAGCCGGCAAGGAATGCTACATTCTATCTGTATAAAAAAGCTTCATGTTAGTTTTGTATTTGCTCCCATAACCAAATGCAAGAATGAACTGCAAGCAAATAAACCAGAAAAACAGATTATACCCATCACCAACAAAACTACTTTTTATCTGGGTATAGAGAAGCACCATATTAACTACCATTAGGATCTACTCTACCACTAGCTAATGCCATCTACTTCTGGCCACAGACGTTAGCAGTGTTCAGACACTGAATGTTACCTACCTTGATCTACTTTTCCCTTCGTGATTCAGTGCAAGGAAGGAAAAAGCACAGCAAAGCTAAAAGGATGGGACTACACTATTCAAGAGCCACAGTTACGAAGAGAACCATTGCCATTTTCTATCCAAATGTCTTTGCAAATTAGGCTGATTTAAAGAAATCAAGGAAAAGGTATTTACAGGCAAGTGATTTCATTTGGGTGCCTGGAACAAGAGCGTCACAACGTGCATCCCAACAGCTCTTTGTCAACTGTGCAGCAGGA